CTGGGTCAGACCAAAGGTCCATCTAGCCCAGTAGCCTGTCTGCCGACAGAGGCCAACCCTAGGGACCCCGGAGGGGATGGACTGAAGACAGTGACCAATCCATTTGTCTCGTGCCATCCCTCTCCAGCCTTCCCCAAACTTTGGGCAGGGACACCACTCCTACCCCCTGGCTAAGACTAGTCCATGGACCCAACCTCCATGACTTGATCTCACTTCCCTTTAAACTCTGTTCTAGTTCTAGCCTTCACGGCCTCCTGCAGCAAGGAGTTCCACAGGTTGACTCTTTGCTTTGTGAAGAACAACTTTCTGTTACTAGTTTGAAGCCTGCTACCCATTCCTTTCCTTTTGTGTCCTCTAGTCCTTCTTTATGGGAACTCATGAAGAACTTTTATGAATGCACCCTCTCCACCCAAACCCTGCTTTTAGAGACCTCTATCCTGTCCCCTCTCCGTCTCCTCTTTTCTAAGCTGAACAGTCCCAGTCTCTGTAGCCTCTCTTCATCTGGGGCCTGTTCCCAACCCCTGATCATGTTAGTTGCCCTCCCCTCTCCCAGCCTTTCTCTTCCCCTTTCCTACCTCCTTTTCCCAGTCTCCCCCAGTTTTGTTCAATAAAGACAGAGTCAATGTTGGAAGAAACGTTATCTTTATTTTGTACATCAAGAAGAGGGGCTAGGGAAGGGTAAGTGAAAGGAGGTGAGGGAGGAATGGGGCTGGCTCTGTGGGCTTCTGGGGGTGGAAGCTCTCCTGCAGCCCCCCAATTGCCCCCTCTTCCCAGATGGCAGCCTGCGGCAAGTGCAGCCGGGCTGATGGCCGAGTGCTGTGATGTGCCCAGTGTGAGCACTCAGGGCACTCCAAGCCAGGACTGGTTTTCAAGCGGGGAACCCCTGAGAACTGTCTGTCCGGGGTGGGGGTCGGGTCCCTTTAAGCGCAGCCCTCGGCTAGCCTGAGACAGCATCTCCACGCTCTAAGTCCTCCTCTGATGCCCTGCCGGCACTGCTTCCGGCCATCCTTAAGCCCTGTTCAGGGTCCACTCAATGTGGACATGGTAGTTCGAATGAGCAAAACGCTAATTCGAACTAGTTTTTAGTTCTAACTCCTCCCAAGAGTTGCCCACAGAGAGGATTGCACATTCATTGGTCCAGAGATGATCAGCACTCAACCCGCTGAACTGTCCAGTCTGACAAACAGATCTATTCTGTGGAGGAAAGCATGCCTCTCCTACCCTCCCCAGGACCGCCAAAAGCGACAGGCTTAGGACAAGACAAACGTCAGGTAGAGAAAGGGGTGACAAGACAGGCAGACATACACGGAAAGGCTAGTTTGCTCACCACCTGCTGGGGGCACAACCTGATCCAGCAGCTTCATGCTGGTGCGCTTCCAGATTTTCTTAATGATCGCTCGCAGCTCCTCGTTGGCTTGCTCCAGGTTACCTGTTAGGGGAATCAATGCACAGAGGAATTAAACCAGCTCCAGCAGAGGAGAAAATTTCACACCTATGCTGTGGAATCCCAAAAGGAAACAGTGGTTCACAAGCCTGCTCAATGCACCTCTCCTACAGCAGGAAAATGCTTCAAGAGCAGCAGAGGGCAGTTGGAAGTGGGAAGTGTGATTGTCAGACCATGGCTTATTTCTTTGTGCTCACAGCAGGCCGGAGGTGCTGACAGCCTCCGCAGGCACTTGGGCAAGGTAGGGGGAGCAGCTTTCCACTACTAGAAGGGGTAGGGCTGGCAGCAGCTAGCTTTCCACATCTTCCAGAGTGCAGCACCCCCTCTTTCAGCCCTCAGAGCTGCTGGAGTGAACAGCATGGCTCTCCAGCAGCAATTTAAAGAGCCTGTTGCTCTGGCTGATGCTGCAGCGGGTATAGAAACATGGTACAAAAGTACAGAGGGGACCACACCAGGGACTAGTATATCGCATACAAGGAATCTAACCCCTTTACAGACATTACTGAAACAAGCCACGCAACACCTCTGGAAGTGCCAAAATATGAGGATCCTTACCGTCTGTGATCCCCTTCTGGCTGCCTACCTCTTCCCAAGCCCCCTAGCTTACTTGCCCCTTTAGTTTATTTGTCTCTTATGTATGCCTCTTCTTCCATGCAGCCCCTAATGCATGGAATTCCCTTCCTTTGCCCAGTGGAGCACACTACCACCCTCTCCTCCCAAAGCGTACTTGTCTCATGCAGTCTCTCGTTATTAATCTAAGTGAGTTTCCAGTCCCTTCCAATCAAACCCCGTGGAGGTTCAACCCCTATCTGATGCTTTCCCGATTCTTAATGTTCTGTTGGACTATAGAGAGCCCACTTTTGTAAGGGGTCTCCTCCACCTCCTGCCACAAAGATTGGACCTAAGACTGGAAGCTCCTTTGGAAACTTCATCTTCCCCAATGTTCCCCACAGCACCGTGCACACTGGCAGTTGTTAATGATCACAACACATGACTGGCTCAAGATCACACAGGAAGTCAGTGTCAAAGTCAGGAATAAGAACGTATGTGCTTTGATTCCCAGTCTCCTGCTTTAACCATGAATACCACTCTGCCATGGCTTAAAACTAAGGTCACGTCTACCCCATAAACTTTGGTTAACGCAAACTACTGCAGTTGGTATATTCCTTGTGCACGTGTGTTTACTTGGCTCCTTGTGTCACACCTGTGCACACACCAGGAATACTTGTAACAATGTACAGTGTGACGCAACCCTGATTCTGGCAGAGGCATAGAGTCTGCACAGTTCTGCACTATTGTCATAAGCATTGTAAGCACAGGATTCACAATCCTCTGGTATTAGTAAAGCTGTAAGAAGACCCAAATCAGTGGGTAACATGTCTTAATGAAGGACAGATTGTTTCCCTAATCTGTGGAACAGAGTGAGAACCAATGCAAGTTTGTCAGTGGCATTCACGGAGCAGCTGCAGACAGCGGAGCATGACTTCTGCGCCCAAGAAATGAGCATGACCGATGGGCTCACATTGTACCACACAAGTGGGATGATGAGCAGCAGTTGTAGAACTCTCACATGCTCAAGGCCACATTCTTGGATCTGCATGCTGAGCTTTCCCCAGCCCTCCAGTGCAGAGACACCAGCATGAGAGCTGCACGAAGAGCAGAGAAATTGCACCATGGAAATGGCAGTGGGAAATTATTTTGGAACTGGAAAATCCACTGTGGGGGTCTACTATCTTACAGCTGTGCAGGGCCATCAATCATTTTCTGCTGAGTGTCTCAGTGATGTGCAGGATGCAGTGGGTAGATTTGCAGCTATGGGGTTCCCAATTTGTGGTATGGCAGCAAATGGCTCAAATATCTCTCTTTTGGCTCTAGCACACCTCGCCACAGAGTGGCTCATCAGGAAGGACAAATTTTGTATGGTTATGCAAGCAGTAGGGATTCCTGGGGACACTTCACTGACATCAATGCTGGCTGGGTAGGGAAGAAACATGATGCACTTTTAAGAACACAGGACTGTTCAGAATGCTGTAAGCAGGGACTTTCTTTCTGACCAGAGGGCTACCACTGGGGACATTCAAATGCCAATAGTGATCCTGGAGGATCCAGCCTATCTCCTGTTTCTGAACAGCACCAAGGAAAGATTCAACTGCTGGCTCAGCAGGTGCAGAATGCCAGTTGAATGTGCTTTTGGTCAACTGAAGGAGGACAGGCAAAGCTTACTGACAATACAGGCGCTCCATGAAAAAAAAAAACCCAATGATTATAGCTGTCTGTGGGGTCCTATATAATCTATGTGAGGTAAAGGGGGAAAAGCTGCCACTGGGGTGGATGGCGGAGGTGGAGTGGTTCTCTGCTGACTGTGAACAGCCAGATGTAAGAACTATGATAAAAGCAAGGTGGCGATATCCAGCTCAGGGAGTCTCCGAAAAAGCACTTGAGCGGCAAATCACAGGAATGCACTCTGATGTTCTGTGGACTGCCTGGTCCTGCAGTGTTAGGGCCTGCTAAGAGTTCTGTGGGGTTGTTATATGTGACTATAACATTGTCAATGCACTCACTCCTTTTGTGGTGACACTGCGCTCGTCACCAGAGCGCTGAGTTGACTCACAGTGGACAGTAACCAGTAAGTGGATGCTTCCAGAACTGCCAGGCACTCTATCGTGTGTTGTTGCAAACTAGTAAAGATGAATTATTTTCAGTCAAACTCTGCTTAGCACAGGATCCAAGGGCTTGAAGCCATCTTTGTAGTTGATCCTCTGATCCTGAGGGTAGGCAGGGTTAACACAGCCCCCAATGTAATTTAGAACAGGGGTAGGTTAGAGTTCTCTTGGCCCAGGTCTGCAAAACATTCCAGCCATATCCTCTATTACCTCCAACAGCAAGGGAGGCCAGTACTGTGTGGTGTTGAGAAGGCCAGGCCAGCTCCATGCCAGGTTTGGACTCCCTACACAAGGGATCTTTTCAGAGATGGCACCTCTTCTTCTGCAGTGGAAAGGGGACAAAGTGGGGGCTGAGACTAGCCCTCTGGACTGGCCAGTGATTGCTCTTTGACATATTTTCTCCATCCTAGAGTGGCCAGTGATTTCAGGCTGTTAGCCTAGAATCTATTTGCTGCCCTCTGAGGATTCAGATTTACAGCTTTGGCATTCATGCCATCTTTCCCCCTCTTTTTCTGACTGTTACCTGAGCTTAAGCTTTCAATGGCAAGATCATCAAAGAGGGAATTCTAGGAAACTTACTAATGATCAGAAATGATATGGTTCTCTAGATGACACTTAGTTAAAAACATTGTACTGTCCCCCTGGGATGTTAGTCTTTGCTGCACATTTACATTTGCTTTCTGGTCCACACACTCAAAGTGAAAAGCCCTAATCATTGTATGCATTATATGATGTCCATATGTCATTTTCCATATGAGGAAATTCAGCATAGATGTCCTCCATCTACACTCACACAGCTGCACACATGACAAAAATCATACTCATTCTTTAAGATCAGGAGGTGCAACCTGAATGGGTTACCTTCAGTTTTGATCCTCAGTGCTGTTCTGACCAAGGCAAAGAGGGTGGCATTAAACATGACAGTCCCGTCACTGTTCAGTGGCATATTCATAGAGACGAGGCGCTATGGAGTAGGGGAAGAAACAGAACAATCATGCAGTCAGCCCACACTACTCAGCAAAAAAAAATTTTCTTGTGCCCTCACACCACTCTCCAGACTTACCACTCCACCCACCAATGTAGTCACAGTTCATGTGTTTGGTTACACAGATTGAAAACTAAGAAAAGGACCCATCATAAGAACAAAATGTGTTTGCCCACAGGCATATTCTACAGTACCTCATTGTGGGTAACCCTTTTGAGGTGGGGGCATAATTCAAGTAGGCTTGATATGGCTAATGGATTCCCACTAGAGCACTGAATGCAAATAGAAACTACCTGCTGTCTCCCAACAGAAGAGTCCTGGGCCAAGTTACTCCCATCGGAAACAGGCAGGTGATAGGATTACAATCTACTGGGCTCAGAGTAAATGGGTTCCTGGCTTCCCCACTTTGGGACAGCAGACCTCTGCAGATGGGTTGTTGTAGCCTACACGATGCTGTTTCTCCCGCTAGTATGTCTATAGCATTTATCACTATGTAATACCTCCATGTAATACCCCTACATCCCCCTTCTGTTCTGTAATGTGATTTGTCCTTTTCATGTGTGTTCATTTTTTTTTAATTGTATCCTTTGGTATATATGGTTGTGACTATTTTCTTCCATTATTTGATCTGAGGAAGTGGGTCTGGCCCACGAAAGCTCATCATCTAATAAACCATCTTGTTAGTCTTTAAAGTGCTACATAGTCCTGTATTTTGTTTCAGCTACACCAGACTAACACGGCTACATCTCTATCACTATGTAATACCTGGTAATTCTTGTGCCAGGGAATCTCATTTGCAATCTCTAGCAGAGTCTATAATGTAGGCTAACAAATGGCCTGATGAGAAGCTAATACAACAACAAGCATTTTTACCAGATGCTTCTCCAGAACCTGTGTTCTAGATTATCAAGAAATGAAGCTGTAATTTGTTACATGTGTGCTTCCTCTGAGCTGTTCTTCCCTCTTTCCACCTCACCCTAACTGCAGTCTTACTTTGCAAGCCACTCGATGAGGACAGAGCTTCCCAAAACCCAGTGGAGGCTGAATCCGCCGGAGCAGCGTCACCACGTCCAGGTGTTTGATTCTTCCCCTGGGGAATAAAATACAGTATCAATGATAAAAGGGTCTGCTAATCCATCTGGAGAGGGCCTGGGAGCAGGGGCTGTTAGAAACATATATGAGATCTCAATCTCAAGATTGACAGAACCACTCTATCTTAACATGACATAGCAGGTGGCTTTATACTATACCTCTCCTAGCATATCTCTCTAGGTTTGCACACCCATGAGTTAGCTCCTACTAGTTTGACTGTGTAGGAAAACACAACAATCATTATACACTTAGGCCAATACTGGCAAAATTGGCCATAGATTTGAGTGCCTTAGTTTTTGGGGAAGGAGCTAGATGGATCATTACAGGTGATATTTGTCATATGGCTCCAGAAACCCTATAGCTAACCCCGTTTACTAATAGTCCTGGGGCTTGTCTACACAGGGAAATTAATCTGGAATAAAGGAGGATGTGAATTTCAAATAGGTTAACTATTCCCAATATATGGAGACTCTTATTCTAGAACAAGAGTACCTTATTCTGAATGAGCTTAAAAGTGGATGGAGCTAATTTGGAACAAGGTGTTGTTATCCAGGAATAAGAGTGTCCACACATGGGATTAGTCAGGGACAGTTCTTCAGGAATGGCTATTCTGAAACAAATCCCCATGTCAGCATGCTTTGGATACTAGGGCCTGATTAGCAAATGGAATGTTTGCTCCAGCACTGAGGTTGTCCCTTATCTTTATTGAAAATGCTGTGGACCACCACCAGGGATAGGCAAAGGGGACCTCCAATAAAATGATGCCACCCCAAACTCTGCACAGCCAGAATTAGCTATGAATTTAAGGGGTCTTGAACCCAGGAACTTTGGAGCTAAGTAATTTACACCCATGTTAAGGCCCCTTTACCCTGCCAGAGTGGCTTCAAAAGGTAGTGTAAATGAGCATCAGACCCAAGAGCATTTCAGACAGTGGCAGATGACCCACAGGGGAATCTGTGGGTCAGATTCTCCTCTCAGTTGCACTTGTACAAACTTATTAACATCAGTGAAATTGCAGGGGTGGGTCAGAGAGGAGAACTGGCCCTCCACAATGGGGCAGGCCATGGCTGGCTCAGCCACATAGTGGATGATGTGTGGAAACCCAAAGAATGAACACCGCAGTTGTGTTGTGAGCTAAATATGGGATGCAGAGCAGGAGGCATAAAAATAACAGAGCCCAGGGTTGGGTTTTATAAGGGCTCAAATACTGTTTATATGGCAACCTAAGAAGGGTCAGTCAAGCCAGGTCACAGGCGGGGACTCAATACTACAAACATATGGGCTATGTCTACACTGCACAATTATTTCAGGATAAGCTATTCCAGAAGAAATACTCTGAAACAGCTTATTTTGAAATAGCATGATTACACTACAGGGAAGCCCGGAAATTAGTGCGAGGCAGGCTCCCTTAGTGTGGACGTGCTACCTCAATTTAGAGCCCCAGGAAGCACTGGGGAGTAATTAATTTGAATGGCCTGGGGGAGGAGCTATTTCAAAAGAGCAGCAGTTGAACATCCTCACGACTGCTATTCCGAAATAGCCATTTCGGAAGAGGAGTTATTCCTCATAGAATGAGGTTTACAAATGCTGAAACAAGCTGCCCATTATTTCAAAATTATTTTGAAATAATGGGTTATCTGTGTAGACGCGTGCATAGTTATTTTGGAATAATAGACATTATTCTGAAATAACGCTGCTGTGTAGACATACCCCATGTGAGCCAGCCCCTCAACAAGCCTCCCTCTTAATGCATATCCCCCTTGGCCTTTTTATTATTCTGATAAATGGCCTATATTTTTCCTAGATGTACACAGTTTTATTTTCAGCCACACAAAAATGCTAGTCAGGCTGGGATATTTTCTATTGCTCACATATCCTGAAACAGGCAGCCTCTGTGTCTGATTCACAAGTGGACAGATGGGGGAGATTTCAGCTTCTGCTTTCCTTTTAGGGTTTTCACAGAGCTTTATATATACTGTATTCTTGCTGGATTTGCTTCCTGCCTGAGAACATGGCATCCTATTTCATTGGCTCTGGGATGCCACACTTTTGAGAGAATAGAGATTGTGTACCAGATGTTAACATGTTCCAAAGTTCAGGTCCTGCCACTTACTTGGCTTCAGGATCATACTCTGCCCAGATCCTTTTAAACTCATCCAGGTGGTGTGGCCCCAGAATGGACCAGTCCCGTGTTAAGTAGTCAAAGTTATCCATAATAACAGCTACAAAAAGATTGATGATCTGCAAACAAAGATAGAGGTGATGTGAAGAAGGTGACATGTAACACCAGACTTTACTTGGCTTCCAGTTTGTGTCCAAGTACAATTCAAGGCCTGGATTTTGACTTACATGGCCCTGTGTGGTTTGACTCTCTCTCTTCTCGTGGGTGACACCATACCAAGTGAGATAAGCAGAGGCTCTTGATTTCAATGGGAAGGTGCTTGAGGTAAGGTGTTCCTAGCAAGGACCCCATAAAACTCCCCCCTCTCAACTGACTGAGGAAGCCCATGTTTGTGAGTTTTGGGGCATGCTGCAAGGCCTACCTATTGATACAGGCTTTTCTCTGAGCTGGGCCTGGGTTTATTTTTTTTCTCTTGAGGGCAGAATTGGAGTCATTTATTGGCATTGAGCCAAATGGCTTAAAAGGCATCAGAGGAGAGCATTCTGAGTACCAACAGCCAGAGCTGCGCAGTGCATGCTGCAATGCTGTGTAACATCGGGACTGCCAGGATGGAACAAATGCCAGTTGGACACGGCTTTTTCAGAGTAATAGCAACAGTAAATTAGAAGGTCAGAAAGAAGGTGGGAAGTAGGGGAGAGGCACTGCTGGCCTCACTCAAGGCCTCTGGACACCAATCTGTTCTAGTGATGCAGGGCCTCCTTGTTTGTGCTGTGACTGGATGTTGAGAGTCTTCTGGAGAGAGGCTACTGAGCATGAACTGGGGGGAGTGAGTATCATGTCACTGCAAGGCCACTGTGGACAATGTGTATCAGACTTGCCAACTGTGAGGTCTCTTTTGCTACAGCATCAGCGCCCAGGGAAGTCAGGGGTTATTGGGCAGTCACAGTCCAGTACCATTTGTGCTGCCAATGCTAACTCACCAAGAAGGCACAGAGCATGTAGAAGCTGATGAAGTAAAAGATGGCAAAGCCGCTCCCACAGGAATGGTCGCCTTCAGTGGAGTTGGCTGGCTCTGAGTCAGGGTCGCACCTTTTATTTGACAGACACGCAAGCATGATCTCCTGCCAGCCTTCACCAGTGGCACACCTGGGTATAAAGGGGTACTTGAGAATGGGGGAAGTGAAGACAACAGTGACCACTTTCAAAGGGAAACAAAAGTTGGCAGAGGGGTGGGCAAATACCAGCTCATGGGCTGGATCCGGTTCACCAGGGATAGCCCTTGGTGGGTCCCCGCTGCTACATTTACCTGTGCCTCTGCTGGTCTGCGTGATCAGAGCTCCTGTTGGCCACAGATCGCCATGCCTGGCCAATGGGAGCTGCGGGAAGCAGCGTTCCAGTCCGTGCTGCGCCCCACCGCTCCCATTGACCAGGAATGTCAATCCACGGCCAACGGGAGCTGTGTTTGCTGGTACCTGTGGAGGTGCAGGTAAATAGAGTGGCAGTGGCCCAGCAGGGACTACCTCTGGCAAACTGCTGCCATTTTATTGCCCACCCCTGAGTCAGCACATTAAGAGCCTTCTGCTCCCATTGAAGTTATGGCCCACATAAGGTGGGTGATGAGACAGGTTTAACATGAACTGACAAATTCCTCTCCTAGTTTTGTTGCTATGGTCATATTATCCATTACTGGAGACCTGGCTTTTGTACACTATGGATGCAGGGCCACCATGTTCTGCCCTGATGCTCAGGGAGATTTGGGTGCTGTTGGAAGGAGAATGTTCAGGGCTGGAAGGATAGCAGCATTTTGCACCTTCCATTTTGAGTTTCCTTATCGTTTTCTTCCCTGTCCTCTCCTGAGCTGCTCACTTCTCCTGTCCTCTGTCTCTCCCTATAAGCCTACGGGCAATGTGAGAGTGCTGTATCCCTGCACTCTTCCCGTCAGGAAATGCCGTCCTCAGCACTCTCTGTCTGCCTGCTACACATAGGCAAAGCGGGCTGCCAACCACCAGTTTGGAGATGGATGATGTGTCAGACTGAACAAAGATCAGTGTCCTGATTGGTATTTGGCACCCTGCTCTGAGTAGGCATTTCAGAAGGGAGTGAGGGAAATGGACAGATGATCAACAACTAGCTCAAGAAGACATTTCCCCCTGAGGCAGAGTCTTTTCCTTCATGGCAGTAGCCATTGCCAGAGACAGAATCATGGGCCCTTTGGTGTGTTGCAGGAAGTCAATCCTTATGTTCCTGTAAATTCAAGAGAACCACTTGAACACTGTGTTAAAGACTCTTCTTCCTGCTGCAGAAGGTCAGAGAGCTCAAATGCTTTGGTTAGATTTAAAGAACGAATGGTTTTGTGATCAATATTAACATTTGTGGCTCAGCTGAGGTAAACAAATTCGATGCTTCAGTGGGTAACTGGTCACTTTAGTGGAAAGGAAAGAGTTCCCCTCCCCCACAGGTAGCCTACTGAACAACTAGATATATGAATTTGTGGTATGGGGGTGTTGGTTTTATCTGAGGCATCAAGTATTGGCCATTAGTGGAGGCAGGAACTCAGGTCAGATGGACCAATGGTCTCATCTGGAAAAACAAATACTAGGTTCTGGATTTGGAACACTGTATTTCTAATCATCTTATGATCACGATATGGTAAAAATGGAGACGACATGTCCGGATGCACAAAGTCACCCTCACAGATGCACCCAACACAAAGCTGTGACACCCACCTGAAGAGTAGCAGCACTGCTTGAGGGAACGTCTGAAAGTTGTTGTTGCGGTTGATATCCGTGGTGTCATTCAGAGCAATTTTACCAAACACCTAGCAGAAAGCAGAGGTCTTGTCAACTTGGCTTTGTAGCCCCCAAATCACTCTTATCAGCTATAATTCCTTGCTTCTCGGTGATTGTGAGCATTGGAGTCTGACCCCTTCCTACAAGATGTTTCCTGCTGGTTTCTAATATTTGCTACGGTTCCTCCTGTTTGTGCTAAATCACTGGAAAAGCACCCACACAGAAACAAGAGGCGCATTCTAATACCATTAACATAACTCCTAATAATTCATTATTGCATGTGCCATGAATATGTGACATAGGGAGCTCAATACAATGTGCCTTCACACTGGATATTTTCAGTGGAAAAAAATAGGAAGAGACGAGAGGCTGCAATTTTTTCCCCCTTCACCAGCTTTCTAGCAGAAGCCCTGTCTGCTCTAGGAGGAAAAGCATTGCAACAGACCTCTATGTGGACTGCTTTGAGCTCTCAGAGTCTGTAAAATGCCTTGCCTCTGTGCACAACAGCCGTGCCCTTGTACAGTGGAGTGCCCCACGTTTGGAAAATTACCCCAAAGCCTCAGGTCCTAGTAACAGTGCTTGGTGGTACGAGGTAAGTGTTTCAGGAACCCCAGAATGCAATGGTGCAATCAGGTCTGCCAGGTGTCCTGGGTATGGTTGCTTCAAAACAGTTCTGCCCCACACCAGTACTGCTGCATTGACATTGGAGCAGTGATAAGAGTCAAAAACAATGGGCTGAATCCTGCAGTCTTTACTTCCATGAAGCTCCCACTGAAGTCAGTAAGAAGCATGATTAAGGACAGAGCAAAGACATACAGGACTTGGTGCTATGGCCCTAATAAAAAATGAAGGCAGTGGGAGTCTTCCCATTGATTTCAATGGGTTCTGGATCAGGCTCTTTATAAATAATACTTGTAGTGCTAGTGAATCCTGCAATGGCTATCCAGGTGTGCCCCAGGGTATGTCTACACTACAAGGGGTGTTGTTTTGTCCGAAAAAAAATGGCTGTTTTCCGAAAAAAACTTCAATTACGTCCACACTGCAATCATGTTCTTCTGAAAGAAAATGGAAAGAACAGAAGGGATTTTCTGGCATTGGTAATCCTCATTCTACGAGGAAGAAGCCTTTTTGAGAAAAAGCTCTTTCAGAAAAAGGTGTGTGTGGACAGGGAGTTCTTTTGGAAGAAGAAGAAAGAGGAAAAAGCACAGGTGCCCTGGTGGCTGCTTCGTCCATAGTAATCACAGCTAATATGTGAGATAGCGTCCATTTCGTGCTTTCACAGTGTGGACGCTCTCTTTCGGAAGAAGTTTTTCTGGAAGATCTCTTTTGGAAAAGCTTCTTCCAAAAGAAGCCTGCAGTCTAGACATAGCCCCAAGCAGTGAACAGGGGACAAGAGAGCGCAGAACTGCTATCCAGGGAGGGTAGGAGAAAGAGGGAGAACACATCATGTGAAGAGGGTGTGGCAGGATGAGGGATAAGAGACAGCTGAAGACAAGGATGGTGTGTGGGGGGAGAGGGCAAAACATGCAGAACAATAGTTATGGAGAGAGAAGTTCAGTGTTCAGAAGCCTTGAAATATTATTTAAAGCAGAGGCTTTCCTAGTCTGATCCATGAAGCCCCACTGCTCTGTGGGGTTACTGCCATCTGAGAGGTGGAGCTTTCATCTCTGAAACAAGATAAGGTACTGCTATGCTAGGAAGTTTTATGGCTTCTTTGGATGGCTGCCACAATTCCCTTGTATGTATGTGTTTAGGCTACTATACAGACAGGGAAACCTATTAAGTCTCTTTCTTTGGGGCTTTTTGATTGGGGCTTTTTGGGTGTAAAATTCAACATTATCACATCTGCTGAGAACATTGAAGCCTAGGGAGAAGTAAACACATAGGCTACTTTTACACTACAAGGTTTTTGCGCAAAAACCTGCGGAGCGCCCACACCCAAATGAGCGCTTGAGCAATTGAATGGGCAGTTAAACAGCAGAACAGAGGGATTCTTCCACCGTAGGTCAACCTCCTTTTCTGAGGCATAACTGCTTTTAGCGCTGCAGCTATTGCACAAGAAGGCAAGTGTGGATGCTCTAGATGGGTTTCTTGCACAAGAAACCCACATGGGAAAAAGCACAGGTGCGCGCTCTTGCGCAAAAGCACATCGGTTTTGCAATGTGCTTTGAGGTGTGGACATGCTCTTGCACAAGAAGTGTTTGTGCAAAAACTCTTGCGCAAGAAGCATGTAGTATAGATGTAGCCATAGAGGCAAACTGCAGAGTGACCTGTAGAGATTCAAATCAGGGCTGTAGGCAATGCAGACAAATGCAGCACTAATAAGCGCAAAGTCCTATATCTAAGGAGAGGAAATAAAATGACACAAGTATCCAAGGGGGAAAGCAGCTCTCTTCTTTATGCCAAACTGATTTCATTTCCATCTTCTTTC